GCTTCTCGGCATGAGACCCGCGTTACTCCATCACTCCAAACATACGTAGACACCTCTACAAGAAATGGTAGTTGCATTTCTCCGGAGGCTGGAGTTGCTCAATCCACTTCATCAAGCGAGAGGAACTGGAATTCTAGTTCCACCATTGTGTTAGTGGAAGAGGTAAGACTGCCACTTGAGACTAGTTTCACTGTTCAACATGTATTTGGTAGGCTTTCCAGTACCACGATACTGATACTCCCTCGACGTCCGAAACGTCAGCTTTTTCTACTGGTCAACAAATGAATCCTGAGAGGTTTGCCCCCTTGCATATGTAGCGCAGCATAGTATTCTAACTCAATGGAAACAAGATCGTCCTCACAGCTGACAAAGTTTTCGAGACAAAGATTCAAACCATCCAGAGTTTCTTGTCCAGCTGCACTAGAGCTTCTAGCGCTGCTTCCGGAGCGGGAGACGGCGACTCTGCTCCTGAACACCTACTTTGATCGGGTTCACTGGTTTATGCTAGTTTTTCATCAAGACGAATTCCGGAGCAAATTCAACCGATTGTACGACAGCCGGTATGACTTGGGGCTTGTAACAACGCATGAGTATTTCGGCTTCACCAGCACGCTATTGGCCGCTTTTGTCATCGCATTGCAGCATGTCGGCACGTATCGTAGAGATCTTCTGCTACATGCTGGTGTTGACCTGGAAGATCTGAAACAAGGGATTCTTGGGATTTTGAGGGCTAAACTCCTTGATCTATTATCCCTTAGCTCTCTGGAAGTGGTGCAAACCTGTGTCTTACTCGGCAGTTACTACCTTTATCATGGTGATCCAAAATTAGCGTGGCCCATCTGTGGTTGCGGGCTGCGTATCGCACAGTCTCTCAATTTGCACCGGAGTGTGCTAAAAAGTTTACCTCCTTCAGAAAGATCAGCAAAGTCTTTCCATCGACGAAATGAAGCCAGAAAGCGGTGCTGGTGGGCCATCTTTGAAATTGAGACGTTCTGCTCGATGTTATATGGCTACCCTTTGAGTATCTCAGACAAAGACTGCGATATTGAACTTCCAGATCCCAGCATAACGCCGCAGACTGAGCGACTCTCGCAATCCCAGGAAAGGGGTTTGAACAATGACGCCACTCTATTGTCGTACAAATATCTCATGTCCAAACTATCAATCATTATCAAAACTGCTCTGACCGACCTCTACGGTGTGTGCCAGCAGTCAGTTGGCAAATCAGAGCGTGCATCTAGTCGGAACCAGCGCCTACAACAATTAGTCCAGAGTGTGGCAGAACTCGACCATAGGTTACAGCACTGGGATAAAGAACTTCCATCGATATTACGACTGAAGAAGGCGCGAGTGTCGAATTCAACCTACGACTCGCTGAATGAGATTGAGATGGACATCGGAGCATCGGGTGAAAAGTTTGAGAACCATATTTTTCAACTCCAGGCAATGGCGTTAAAGTTGGCATTTGAAAATGCAAGGATACTGATTCACCGACCGCTCATTTCATACAAGTTGACCGCACATCCTTCTTCTTGGGCAACCCAACCCTTCACGCTCCAGTCCTCTCAGGTATTGGCTCCATTCCAAAATTCAATCCAGAAATGCCGAGATGCTGCGCTACAAACCGCTGATGTGGGATCTTACCCCATCTTTTTGTATACGCCGACTACCTATGCAGCTGCCTTTGTCGGTATGCATCTTTTTACAGCCGGTGTTACTTTATGCATCATGACTAGTCTAGACCCGCTCAGCATGCAATCTCATGAGTCTAAGATCGGAGTACATCGTCTGATGCAGATGCAGCTATCGTTACAAGAAACGTCCATTCTGGTCGCGCAGGGTTTCAGCATACTGAAGAAGTTAGCAGTCTTGATAATGCAAAAAGAAACGGAGAAATTGTTCGAGTTTTCAAGACCGCCCACTCACACAGGGCAGCCAGCACAGACACTTCAACCCATGCCCTACCTTCCCAGATCACCGTGCAACGGGGCCAACGACACGAGAATCAATGCACGTGAACCCTCTGCTGCTCTCCCACTTCAAATTGATTCTGCTGCACCACAGCAAAATCAGACTCAAGCTGCAGCATTTGAAGGCATGACAAACAAAGCTTTCCCAACTCGTACGCCAGAGAACTTCAACATCGATTTCGATGAAAACCCGACAGTGGCTGAGACTCTTCTAAATTTGGACCAAGGTACCCCACCAGAAATTCCAGCTTTAATGGAAACAATGTGTCTAACTGTAGTTATAGTGATGTACGAGTTTCCTAACCATTCAAGTACGGAGGATGATGGATTACCGAGTTACAGTGACCTCTCCTTGAACAGTGGTCTCATAGACCAGGAACAGGGGTGGATTTGGGGCTTCGACTATTTTCGAAATGACGAGGAGGACTGCATCGAACTTGAATGAGAGCCTGAGTTGATCGTGTAATAAGTCGGTACCTAATGTGCGCGAGAGATAGAAGACATTGTATGGCTAGGCATGAGCATAACAACGGTGTACAAGAGAAGTATCAAATTACAATAGCTATCATAAGTTTGTAATCAGATCGTTTTCTGCACCAAAATCGTGCTTTTGATAGCGTCTTTGTCTACTTTTTCCACAAAGATGACCACCATTGTTCTTGGCATGTAATGCGTACAGAATTAGAATTTAAGAAGCCCTACGTATTCGAGAATTCAACGACGAGATTACATCTGTAAGGAAACTAGTTAACTGATCACTTGGAAGTCTCAGTGGAAACGTGCATGAGATTTTAAATGAAAACTCGACCGGCTAGAACTGCGAATGTTTGGTATTACCATGATCATGTAGTAAGCCCATTTTCAATGATTTTAAGCACTGAAACAATCTTAGAGCGGCGAAAGCGATGGAGAGAACATCGAGGCGGCCCAAAGTCTCCAATGTTCCATTTTTCACCTTACTCTTCCTGAGTAGAGCTTCTAGCTGCGCTATGATGAGGTTCGTGCGCACCGACAGCTTCTTCGAATGGCCTCGTAAGCTGTGTTCAGGGTGTTGATGGTTGTACTATTTTTTACACTGAAGCAAAGTAAGATTAAGTGTTCTTGTATCGTAGCTGATATGGTAACGAATATAGTGATAAGGTGTTTCATTCATTTCCAATTTGATTTCTCTCAGGTTGAGACAACCATGCCTGTGGTTGAAAATCCAGGCGACCCTGACAATTTCGAGAAGGTCTCTGCCACATCTTAACTCCTGTCAGCTTTACTACGCATAGTGAATCAGATAAACGGGTTAAAATTCGCGGTTTGTTGCTTCCGATCCACCATGAGCGAAGTTTTGAGTATGACTCAGTTTGTCCAGACATGGATGACCAGAAAATTTGAGTAGGTCAGTCGATGAGAGCATAGTCAACCACGTAGGCATACCGGAATTGACCTGATTCTGAGGGAACGCCAGACTTGGCGACTAGGGAGAAGAGAACTTCTATTATCTATCTGCAAAACACAAAGACCAAACCAAACAGTCGTCATTTTGCCGGTAATCATGCAATGTACGTATCCAATGCTTTGTCCTGTCCTCCAAAGTAATGAGCTGTTGTTGACCACGCCGAGTGTCACCGAATCATCCCGAGCTCAAACGTAACGTGCATAACCAGTGAGTGTCCTTGTCCCCGAAAGCTAAACCTTGTTAACATAAAACACCTCCTTCCCGAATGCTAATCCTCCTGTCATCTCCACATAACTTCTGGCGCCTGATGAGGTATACTCATCCCTAATTCCAGTCAAGAAAGAACCAAAACTACAGAGTTAGAACGTTCATTATGTTGAACGAAAAGTGAACTTCGGCTTGTTGGGCCCACCTTATTGTCTCACGGCAACAGCCTCGCAGCTTCCTCATCCGTGACGAAAATATCCATGACCGGACACCGATCTGTCTCCTCATCAAAATCGCCCACTCCGTCCATCTCATCGTCCTCATCATCATAGCCGCCTCCCCATCGTCTCCTTGCCCTAGCGCTGCCCCTTCCACCATACCGTCTCCCAATCAGGTAGCTTGGCAGGAACAGCTCATCATTCCACGTAAACCCCTGGCTATGCTTCGTATATGTTATGATTCTTGCAGGCTCATCCGAATCCCCGGATAGGTGGCTGTTCAGGTTGATAGACTTGTATGAGGAGGAAGAGAGCATACTCGGGCCAAGCGGGGAAGTGTATGTGAAGGAGTTGTTCATTGCCCTTGCAGGTACTGAGTTTGGAGGTGGCACGTTAGAGTCTGACGCCCGGTGCTTATCTTTTCTTTGAGCTGGTTGTTCGGGGGTAGAGAAGGTGGAGGGTGTGGCTCGCAGATTAATTGGTGATACAACGGTCTTTTGGGTATGGATGAGGACTGCTTCTCGTGTTCTAGAGGAGGAGGTTGAAGCTGTTGATGAGCCTGCATCTGAGCCTTCGGTGCTGTCTGTCCTCTGCATTAGATCGTCACGATCAGAGCGGTGACGAGTAGGGGTTGTGTAGTTGGTGTGCTTCAGCCGTGACAGAGGAATCTTGATTGCTCGGCTGCCCGGTGGGTAACTTGAGTCCGACATGAGAACGGATTGACAACAGTGAAGAGGAAGCTATTCAATGACTCAGTAGAGGTTTGTAAGAGCTACTCTTGTTTTTTATGTTGAAATGTCGAAGAGGAGTTGTTTAGGAGAACAAACAACAGCTCATGTGCAACAGCAGATCGAGTCATCATGCAAGGTCCGTGCAGCGGTGGGCTGCTCCGCCTGCCTGCGCGCTGCAAGGACGTCAAATGAGGTCAAATGATGCCTGTGCTGCCTTATCACTATCGATAAGCCTCACTTTCTAGGCCACTTTTGGAATGGATAAGATCAGGCGGACGACCCCTCCGTGCTTCGGAGCGCAACTCTCTTTTCCATCTCACTGCTACTCCAACTTGCCATCCCGTTTCAAGCCGAGCTCGGCGAAGTAAATCTCTACGCTACATATACGCTGATGACGGCTACTTCTTCCACAAATCAGCACAAACTTGTCGCTATAGCTCAGCTGGGAGAGTGAGTGCAAACCGCATCTGTGGGCAAATGAAAACATCTGCTAACACAGCTTCTAGGCGCCAGACTGAAGTCCTACTTCGGTCCAGGTTATCTGGAGGTCCTGTGTTCAATCCACAGTGGCGACATAGCCTTCCAACGCTATACAGATAGTTCACTATCTGACCACGTTTGATCCTTTTTTGCATTTTGAAGCATTGTTGGTTAAAACCTTTTTGTGCGACAGGAGAGGAGAGAGCATGCGACAAAGGTCAAAAAAAAGCTTAGCGTGACTATCTCGAAGAGCTTAGCTCGCAAGATCTGCCGCGAAGCCAACAGTCCACCAGCGTTATTTCATCTCCGCTGCTTCTTTTGCATCCGAAAGGTAATTCCCGATGTCAGGACAAGGCATGTGTGCGTGTGAACCAGAACCTTCGCCATTTTCGGCAAGAGCCGTATGACCTTTACAGGCGATGATGTTCGCACCCTAACAGAGCCTGATCTTGTCTCCGAAAGCTCGACCTATTGGCTTCGAGTCATTATACATCTGTACGAAGTGCAGTGATCTCAGGACCAGGCCAGAACATCGGCTTGGTGTTAATCTGGATGGTTACGCTTGATTGGCTCTAGCTGCTTTTTATGGACGAATGTTCAATGTCTTGACAGATTCAAGATTGGGTTCGAACGGTAGTGAAATGCTTGACTTTAGGTCTACTCCAGCAATGCCCTTCCAACATGCCTTGGCAGTCGTGATAATTCGTGACGAGCACACCAATCATATATGTTTCGGTCAGACATTCATTCTGGTTATTCTGAACACACTACCTGAATTGTGTTGTGTTAATATGCGCCGAGTTCTGTCACTTTGACACTGGCTAGTACTGAACTCAGTTCTAACAACACTTGTGATCGTATCGATAGATCTTAGTCTACAAGACTGCAAATCACGCTTATTGTCATGGTGCGCACAGGCACTCTGGATCTTATGTGGAAGAATGACGGGGGCCAAACGGGGAAGTAGATGCATGGTGCTGCGTACTCATTTGTCTTTCCAATAACATTGCACCCCTGCCTCTATTGGACACTGCGTCACTGAGCTGCTTTTATGACCTGTGTCTGCCTTTGGTGCCGTGCTTGTCTAGTTAGTGTTCTCGTGCTGCTGTCAATGTTGTTAATGGAAATTAGCTCTTGGTAGAAAAAATACACATATTCGAGAAACTTTCTGTATCAGGCACAGTAACGTGGCGGAGTAGACCAGTCGTCACGGCTCTTGCCGGAATTTAACAACACATGCGGGGCGTCATCTGGGCCAGTCATGTTCATTGGGGTGCGGAGCTCTACACCATGTCTAACAGGGTGCTCACAGCCTAGATCATGCAATACTTGACTTGTGGAGGCATTGGTGCACACTTCTCTCAGGAGCAGGCAATGCGTTGTGTCTCAATTACCATGCAAGTGCTTTTACGAGTAGCAAGTGCTTCTAAACAGGAAGATGTGCCGTGATATAGAAAGATTCAGGAATAGCCATAGTTAGGCTGTGACAATCAAAGAAAACCCGTGGATGACAGTTGTCTTAATGGAGCCACACTTCGGCCGTTGCCGAGACAGGAAAAGATCGCCTTCGACCTCATAACCGTGCGTAGATGCGTGTCGTTCATTTGAAGCATCAGTCCAAAGGACTGCATATGACCCAAACACCTGGCTCCTAGCATTTCCTAATACTCACCAGTAGACAGAATGTTTGATGCGGCATGATACAAAATGGCCAACCTTGAATGCGACACCTCTATAGCTAAGTGTCCCTTGTTTCACTTTTCGAGAGATGAATGGCATAGGTAGAGATGCTGCTAAACAAGTCATATGAATGACCGGCGCAGTTGCGACCCATACTAGACTACATAAAGGTCACTTCCGGATCTGCTTGACGCTACTGCGTCTTTTACGGGCAAATCCAGGATTCATCAGGACTTGCTGAGCTCGTTTCACATTCTGGCCCCACTGAAGAAGTTCGTTGAGCTCTAAATCTGGAGATGAGCAAAGAGGTCTTCAGCCTGATCCAAGAATAAAGAGATATAAGCCATTATTCTTTGTGTCTGTCTTTACATGAATTGAGAAATCAAAACGTTCCCCACTAAAGCCTACAAGCATGTCGTTAATACATCCTTTGGGCCGTGGCTATAGCTGTATCGTTGTGATGCTTACTGCATTGTTGATGTTGAGCTTTATGAAATTTGCGCAAGCACAAGAAAAACCAAAACCGCTCTGTTACCTCAATTCAGATAACAATCCGGAAATCGACTTCGATGTGAGCAATTGGGTGAGTAGGGGTGCCTGCATTCGTTCCCAGCACAAAGACCAGACGTGCAAAGCCATCTTGAGCAATCTACTTCAGAATCTTGATCAGCTCAGGGATGCCGAGTATGGAGGTGCTGCAAGCGTTTTGAGTCTTCTACCAACCATTGGGGCATTGTTTGGAACGCCCACTAGCGAAATCTGGCGGCTTAAGTCGATTGTGCCATTCGGCGGAATACTGGCGATGGCTGTGTCCTTCGGTGGCGCACTCATGCCTGTTCGTGTTGAAAACTATGAGAACACTGTATCACAACGAAACACAGCTATTGGAAGCATCATCAGTTTACGTAGTCATCTCCCAGGCAGCCCGAAAGACGAACAGACTGTTGAGGAAAAGCTAGAAACGCTAGGCGTAAAGATAAGAGAAAGAATCGATCGACGTGAGAGTGTCAGACTACCGAAAGCCTCCTTGATTATTGGTTTGTTTGGTATGGTAATGCTCTTCGCTATGGCACAAGGTGCGATGGGCGTGATTGAGCAGGGTGGTGTCGTTAATTGGTGGTGTTCGGGTCGGTGGTGGATGCATCTGTGGTACATCGCTGGTAAGTATCTCAAACACGACCTTGTACAGAAGGACGAGACAACTGACTATCAAAAGTAACGTTCACCGCTTTCACAGAAGACAGGGTGCAGAGTCCATTCGTCAAAACATATAAGCTATACGTGTCAAGCTTGCCTTACGATGCGAAAACTTCCGGAGGACAGTCTATCACGGAATGTTTCAGTGATAGTACTGCGTCTGAAAATGTCGGTCTCGCTCTTCGACAGCTAAAGACTCTCAGGCCAGCATCTTTGAATGTTTACGGATCAACACTCCGGACTCGATCCCGAAATTCTGTTATGGTAATGGTTTCAGTTGTCGGTGGGAACACAGGTGATTCTATATGGCGACTGCTCAGCAAAACCCTTAATGTTGCAGTTTTTGTTTTAGGCACCGCAATCTTTGCCTCAGCAACCCTTCTGTCCCTAGTCATGGCTATCGTGGTCTTAACACTCACCTTATCAGCCGGCGTTTTTGGCCGAGCTATCGCAGGCTGGATAGTTGGGCAAGTCTCTGGAACTGAACCAATGATCCACGTCATCTCAGGCACCGAACCAGAAGCCTACCAAGCGATCACCAAAATCCTGTGCTTGGGATCGAAAGATCGAACACCCTACCAAGTCGAGATCAACGGACATATTTTCATCAACAAGCGACGCGTTGCCAGCAGGTCAAAGCTCAAAGTTGCCATTCTTGGTGTGCTTGCTGAGCCGTATGATGTGACCAAGGCTTACCAAGGGACCACAATCTCGCCTGTGGGGACCATGTCGCTCAACGCATTGTCACCTCAGCCAACGAACATATCAATGAGTGGTGTTTTATCGCCATTTACCTCAGGTGCCGCAGATCCTCTCCTACCCACAAACTCAATGAATCACGGTGGGGCCAGCTCGTGGTCACAGCAAAATTTTCAGAACAGCTCGGCTGACAGCACCACCAATTTCAACAACCAGATCTCACGCAAACCTGTACCAAGCACGAACTACACGCAATAGATCATGCTAAATGAAGATGTGCGTCGGACATCAGTGAGCCACAAAACACAGAAATACGACAAGTCAAGCCTTGGCGCTTTAACAGCGAACACCATGCACACTCCAATCTCAGCATCAATTCTCACTTAACCACTTATACAAAACCCGCGCATCCTTCCCAGCATACCTCGCATCATCCTTGACCTCGGTGTACGTCTCCAGCGCCACCTTATGCAAGATCCGTCTCGCACCAGCCACTTCAGCCAAATCAGCCCCAAGCGACAGATCCTTGTGCGCCAACTCGATACGAAATCCGCCTTCGTAATCATTGTTTGCAGCCGAGCCCGGCGTCATGCCCGGAACCGGATTATTCTTGCTGATCACCCAGCACTGCGCGCTCCCTGTGTTCAGCACGTCTGTCAGGGTGTTAAGGTCCAGATTCAGTCTCGACGCGATGTTGTATGCCTCGGAGACGCCGAGCACGCTGATCAGCGAGATGTAGTTGTTTATAATTTTGAAGGCGGTGCCGGAGCCCACATCGCCGCAGTGGAAGATGCTCTCAGGCTTGCCCATGTGCACTAGCAGAGATTTGATGGGCTGGAAAAGGGGCGGAGGACATCCGACCATGAAAGTCAGCGTGCCTGCTTTGGATCCCAATGGGCCGCCGGATATCGGTGCGTCGACAAAGGACACATTAGGAAGCTGCTTGGAGGCATCGGAGACTTCGAGGATGGTGCTTTGGGCGATGGTGCCGCATTCGATGAGGAGTTTTTGGGTATTGCTGGCCTTGGCTCCAGCAAGTACCCCAGTGTTTGGGTCGAGGTAAACTGAGAGCATGGCTTCTGATGATGGCAGGACCGTGATGACAGTGTTCTGGATGATCAGCTTGAGATTTAGGGCTGGAGAGTACTGACCGCTGCCTGGGTAGCATCGAAACCGTTCTTGGCGATTTGCACTGGACCGTGAGATGATGACTCGGCTTTGTATCTCTCGCATGCTTCACTGCTGATGTCGGACACTATCACGGTCTTGTCCTTGCCGATCTTCGATCTGAGGTTGATGGCCATTGGATAGCCCATCACCCCAAGGCCTGCTCAAGTTAGGGTGTGGCTTTGAGGACAGGGGCTACGTTGAGTGGGTACCTATGAAGGCGATGGTGTCTTCAGGATGCGCCATGGCAGATGAGCGAAGATGACTTGCTTGGGAAGAGGAGGTTGCTAGGAGATCCTATGTGTTCTGATAAGAGCCGGAGGAGTTGGTTGTAACGGTAATGAAGCGGTAG